CAAAGTTCGCATTCGGTCAGCTCAGGGTCATCTCTTGTCGGTTCGTGATGAGTTTCAGGAAATCTTTGCCTATTTTCAGGGTGCGTTTTCCAGAGACACTTCGTATGTCGTTCCTGATTCAGCTGCTCTTAAGTTCACGAATGCTGAAATAAGTGAGGCCATTGCACTTCTCAAGCCCGGGAAGGCTGTTCCACGATCCAGTTTGCCAGCTGATGTATGGAAGCTTTGTCCTGACGATATAGCTATCTACTGTACCAATGTACTGAATCGTAGCACGCAACAGGGCAATTGCTTCCCGCCGGAGGCTACATGCTGCGACTTGTCTCTCCTTCCCAAATCCCAGAAGGTAGGCCGCAGACCTCAGGACCTTAGACCACTTGGCCTTCAGGACCCGTGTGCTAAGGTACTTGCAATTGCTTTGCGTGCTAGGGTCCTTCCTTACGTACAAGAGTACATTGCTGCCCGACCCCAGTATGCCTACAGCCCGGGCAAGGCCGTAGACGATGCGATCTGTCGCGTGGCATCTCACTGTGCCAGTGTCCGATCTCGGATCCAGCGAGGTCAGCTCAGTGTTCGGCAAAAGCGAGAGGGCTGTCAGGAGAGTACGTGTTATGGCGGTATCATGCTGAGTGTCGATCTCAGCCGTGCTTTTGACGAACTGCCCCGAGCCTCGCTCGAGCTTGCAATGACCCATGCAGGGATCCCGGTCGATCTGCAGGCAGCCATCCTTGAAATACATGAGAGATGCACTTATAGGGTTTCTCATGGTCCTCATAGTGGTGTCTTCCAGCTGGGTAAAGGGGTTAGACAAGGGTGTGCGCTTAGTCCTTTGCTGTTCACCATATACAGCTGCTGGCTTTTTGATCAGTTTGCTGAGTCCACGTCGGGTTGCGAATGCAGTCGCCACACTCTTTGCTGACGACAGTCATGCCGCCTTCCAGATTGAATCCTTGCAGGATGTAGGACGTGCTCTGCGGGCGATTCGCATACTCTTTGGACTGTTCACCAAAACAGGAATGCAGGTGAACTCTGCCAAATCTTGCATCGTGGCGGGGCTGCGCGGTAGTGCAGCCCGGAACTGGCTCAGACGGCATGCCTGTGTAGTGGATGGTAAGCCTGGTTTAAGCCTTGGTACCCCTGGTCACCCCCTCAGCATACCTAGTGCTAACCGAATGACTTACCTTGGGGTTGTAGCTTCCTACGGATCGTTCGAGATGTTTACCTACAAGCATAGGCTAAAGGCTGCTGTTCAGAACCGCCAAAGGCTTCTTCGCACACTGCACTGTCGGAAGTTTTCTCTTGGATGCCGAGTGAGATTGTATGTGGCCTGCGTCCGTTCCACGCTTATGTACGGATTGCATGCGGTTGGGTCACCCGCCAATGTGCTCCGGAAACTAGAAGCCTATGATGCACGAGCCTTACGTGCAATCTCCAACTCGCCGGTCCATCTCACACGCGAGAGCAACGACCGCCTCCGGCAGCGCCTGAAAGTTCCGTCACCTCATCAAGCGCTGGCACAACTGTTGGGTCGTAGAGCAGAGCGTAGTGGGGAGGTTTTCAGTCGGAACTGGTTCCACTGCAAGCGCGACGAGCTAGCTGCGACCCAATCACATGTTGCTGCCAGTGCCAGTGCCAATGGGCTCGTAGCCACTGAAGCCAGCTGGGGAGTGCCTTGTCCGGACTGCGGAATCTACTTCACGAATCACCGGCACATGCGCTCGCATAGAACTCGTCAGCATTTCAAGAAAGCAGCGGACTCGGTGCAACCATCCACCGTGCGGGCCAGGCCCAAAGGGGTGCTCCCCTCCCACATCTATGCCAAGTATGCATTGGATGGCATGCCCACCTGTAGATTTTGCAGCGAATCTTTTCAAAGGGTTGAAGGCCTGAAGAAGCACATTAATGGAGGATGCCCTAGTCTTGACCCTAAAGGCGACCCACATAGTCCCCATCTTCACCCGAAACCAGCCTCGGAAGTCCAGGTAGCTTCCGGGGCTTTCGTCACTGCTCCCGACCCGGCCACAGGCCCAGTGCCGGGCGGAGCAGCTGGCACAATCGCTGCAGATCAGCCTCTTTTTGCAGATGGCGGTTTCCGTCACGCCCTGAAACAGAGCTGGCGCGAGCCATTGCGTGATGCTGAGCTGTGTCGCTCCCTGCGAACATACTGCGTCTTTTGCCATCAGTGGATTTCGCTTGTAGGACCGGGATGCAAGCAACATCACCGTCTCTGTCACGAGCGGGAGTGGAAGCATGCCACCGCAGCTGTCGCCCGCGTCAACACACTGGGACTTGATCCTTGCTCCCCGTGCCGCTACTGCTGCAAGCCCACGGCCGATCCACGCCGGCACCTCAAAAGTTGTGTGCCTGTGTTTCAAGCTTCACTGGCGGCCCTGGTTCTTTCTCATGAAACTGAGCCTCCCCCGATTCCTTCCCATGAGGACACCTGCCATGACCGAGTTGATGGAGGCCGAGCAGGAGCTACCCCGAGCAGCTCTGGCGAGTCGGGAAATCGACATGGTGTTTGGTGGCAAGTCAGGCGACACGGCGGCCCAGGACAAAAAGGAGGAGGACTGGGGCAAGGACTGGGAGGAAGCCGGGCGGTCCGGCAAATGGATGAAGCAGGAGGGCGGAAAGGGCCCCACGCAATGGCCGAAGAACTGGTCCCAGAAGAGAGGCTGGGAACCGAGCTCGGGCCACTCCAAAGCCCAACTGGATCAGAAGGTCCAGCACTTCATGACGACCGTGGCCAGGGCGCTCATTCGACACGAAGCGGATCTGACGATGCTTCGTGCAGACACAAGCTTCGTCCTCTTCATCGATACTTCCACCTACTCCTGCCTCAAGTCAGTGCAGGAAGCAGCAGAAAAATGGGGCGAGCTCTTCACCAAGGGCGAGGTCAAATCGCCGCTGAAGCTGGTGCTTCTGATGGGAATCTTCAAGAAGCTCAAGGAGGCTCTGGAGGACCTCCAGATCAACGAAGACAAGCAGAAGCGATGCCAAGCGGCGGGATGGCTGGTGGAAGGTCGTCAAGCCTTCGACCCAGCCTGGGTGTACCACGTCTGGAATCCACAGACGAAGGAGCAGGAAGTCGGCGAAACCGCGCCGAGGTCCCACACCGAGATTCTCAAGGACATGGATCGACTGATCATGCTTCTTCCGACGGAAGGGCTTTTGCTTCGCTTTCGCTGCACACAGTCCCTGACGGACAAGAAGGAGGGAGAGGTGGTTCCCTTCATGATCACCGTCAGCCTCCGCTCACAGGCAGCCGACGAGACTGCACAGCAGAAGAGAAGGGGACAAGTTAAAGGCACTGCTCAGAAGGCTGGCAGAAGCACCTTTTCTTTCTCTCTTTCTTTGTTCTGCAGTGTGTGGGAATGGCAGCCCTGTCGTTGTGTCCACTGCACTGCTCCAATGACGCATCAGCGACCCTTAAGGTTAGCTTATCATTTGCAGTGAGGGCTCTGGACAATGAACAGTTGACAGTGAACAGTGGACACTGGACATGGACAGTGGCTGCCGTTCAGAAATGTCCGGGCTGTTGCCTGTCATCATCAGATAACAGCCCAGAAAGATGCCAGCAATGTAAGTGCTGGTATTCCGAGCTGTCGATTAAGAGCTGCTTCACCAGGCTCCGGCCGCTCCAGAGCGACGGGGAATCAGCTGGAAGGGCCCCCTCTCCTCGGTCCAGTACCACCTCAGATGGAATGCATTGGCAAGGTTCGATGGAGCTGGACAAGTACACAATTGCAGCCTTGCTGCCCATTGCCATAGCTCCAGATCCAGCCCTTCCACGAGTTGGGCTCCCCAGTTCTTGTCCAGTGCGGCTGGGTGCGAGTGACACTCTTGTTGAAGGCCTCCAAATCAAAGGAACAACAAATAGATTTTTTTACTATGGCCAAACACATCGAATCGTCAATGCCCCTGCCTGCCGCTTGAGCATGTCAGTAAGGCAGTCCGGGTACGTCAGGCATCGCCACATATGGAGCTTCGGGGCAGAAAACTGTGGCGGGTCGGCGGCCTCTGCAAGAACAAGAAGTGGGCGAAATATTGATCCGCCTCCTTGGAGAACAAGCCAGAGCGAATCGTCCACGTGCTGATCTGCAGCATCTGAATCGGCACCGGCTTCACGTCATAGACGACGAAGGTGCCCTGGCAGGCAGGTCACTGCGACCCGGCCTCTAATCTATTGAAAACCCTCTGGAAGCCTCCATGGTCTCGCCCATGACCTTGTAGCACTCCAGGTTGTTCGTCTCGCCCATGAGAAACACCCAGAAGAATTGGCCCAAGCTTTGCAGCCAGACGGACATTGTCTGCTCCTGGAGACAAGGGGAACATCGCACAGTGGACAGTGGGCTTTGTTATCTTAGAGCTGTCCTGCAAGCTGAAGAACTGGGCAATGTTGTTGGGCAGCTGGCCTTCCATCAGGAACTCATACACGTTGTGCTCCATCTGGCCTGCCGGGGCATATGGAGAAGGCAACCGTGTTTGGATGAAGCTGAAAGGCCTTCGTCCAGGATGTGCAACACGGTCTGGGCCGGAAGGTTGTTACTGAAGATGTTAGGGGGGGGGGGCTCGGGGGGGGAGGGGAGCCAGAGCGGGAACAAGAAGGGCTTAGCAAATGCTTGGCAAAAGCTCGGATCTTAGCAAGGGCTTGGCAATGCATGAAAACCATGATTTTGCTGCTTGTCGCGCATCTCTCAGAACCAAAGAAGCCACATGTAGGTCTTGTTCGGAAGCGAGAAGGCCACTCAGTAAGCATGGTCGCTGTGTATCAGTACCGCATAAGCTGAACAACAGACGAATGGCTGAGCTTGTTTCCAGTATGTAGGGCCTGGCAGTGCGTGCTTTCATTCGGTGTCATGGACAGCTGGAGCTCGCGGCTCCTTGAGCTCAATGAGAGCGAGTGCCACCTTTACCTTGGCCCTGTGCATGAGGCCGTTGAGTGGTCGCTGCAGGACATAACAGCATGGATCTGGACTAGCAAAGACCCGAAAACAAGAATGAGAACTTTGAGGGGGTTCAGCGATGCCATCAGCTCTGTGTACCGAGACATCTTTGCCCAGGAGTTGCCACCGTTGCGTCAAATCACGTCTGACGAACACAAGGACGAAAGCAAAGCAATGATGTACGAACGAACCTTGCCGACCAAGCATGTTTGTGCACTGCTGGTGCATGCACTGACACAGTCGAAGGCTACGCAGGTCTCGTTCGAGCAGCACAGACGCACGAGTGGCATTGTTTTCCAGTTGCTGCAGAGTCTCTGCGTCAGCCGCTCTGGAGGCCGGCTGACAATCCGGCATTTGGGCACAGGTGCTCCACTTACTGTTGCTGCCAACAACGTTTTCAGCTCGGAGGATGTTTGGGCAGAGTCTGTTCGGGCCGTGCTGGAAGAGGAGTGGATGGCCCACTGTGCTGACAGCACGAGGTTTTGGCACAGGTCCACGCACGGCACAATGACCATTCCAGAATTTGTGTTATTTGGGCTGGATGGGCATGGTTCCTTGAAGCGCTTTTCTTTCCTCAGGATGGCCGCGCAGGATTTGTTGAAGCAGTGCTTCGCTGCACTGACTCACTCATGTCTCATGGAGCTAAGCCGGCCGACGTCTTTGTCAAGCGGCCCGGCACAGCTGGGCACCACCACCAAGGTTCGCAAGGGGGCTGCAGTGAAAGCTTACTTCGACGCATGCGAGATGGTTGCTTCGGGTGATGCGGCATTGGTGGCATTTTAATGCAGCCGTCATGCGCTCGAACCCCCTAACGCCTGAACCTTTCAGCCTCCATCCTATGTCCTCCTAGGCAGTTCTACTTCGCACAGCGTGCGAAAGATGTGGGCTGCCAAAAGTGGAGGGTCGCTCCCACGACCACAAGAAGAAGAAGGAGGAGGTTGATCGTTCTCACACGTACTCTGCTTTCTGCGCAGAAGTGTATTCCGCGACTTGCTTCAAAGTATGTAGTCAGTCCTCGAGCACGCAGGACGCAAAGGTCCTCATTCCCCTGCACCTGAAACCCTAAGTCCAGAAGCCCTAAGGATGCGTATCGGGTACATGCGCGAACGGAGTTCTCCGAGGAGAAGTTCTGGCACGCTGGCTCCTCAATCAGCAGCATTGCTTCACAAATGTTTCGTGGAATCGGGTGCTGTGTTTCGACTGTGCTAGACGTGCCTTGCACGACATGCTGCGTTGTGGTTCAGGACAGCAGTAGGTTGCAGGAGACAGTAATGGATCTCCAAAGCTTCGCCGAGACAGCTCATGGCGGAGACGACCAGCTGCGATGCATCCCTATGGAGTTGGACCAACGTTTCCGTGGGTGAAACTACGGGGACTGAGACACAGTCCGGAGCTCCAGAGAGTGATACGTTGATCTCGACCAACCAGGCAGAGGACACGCCTCCGCAGTCTTCCCCTTGGGACGACACGCAGGAATCCTCGCAGGACTCGTCGTCTGTCTTTGGTGTGCCTCGGCGCCGGTAGGAAACCCTAAAAAGAAACCTAAGCCCTAAACCCAGATGTCGTGTCGTCTGGCCGTTGTAATGTAATCTTGCTGCTGGTTGCAGATGAGGTGAGATGCATCCCATCACGCCTTGTTGCAGCCAGCAAGGCGCTTTGGATGGCGTGGCACGTAACCACGTCCAAGGTAGGCAAAATACTCGAGGCTGGTGGGGATTTCAGGGAATCGTTGGGGCCTTGCACTGTAGATTGGGATGCCCGCTTGCCCCCTGCCCCCTTGCAGAAGTCGCTTCTGTTCACCGGGAGAGCCTCTTCCTCTACGTGCACCGGTGTTTACACGGCCGAGATGGCTCTGGCGTGTCTGACACGAGTCATCAACTCCTCGGGCAAGTTTGCGGAGACTGTTCATGTGGGTAGCCTCGCTGCGTGGGAACCTTGCTGTATGTCTCGCAGATAGTTCGAGGTTTGCGTGCAGGGGGGCTTTTGTGTTTGTAGCGGGAAACGGGATTGCCAGGTTAGTTTAGATCCGTTGATTGTTGTGGCACGGAGGAAATCAACGCCGGGTGCCTGCAGATCATCCGCGATAATCACCTGTGGTGCAATGAAGTAACCGGGCGCTCGGCCCGGGCGCCACACGTCTTTTCGGATGTTCGGGACATGCTGCCCCAGGATTGTCTGCAGGCTGCCAGCTTCGAAAGCACTTGCAGGCAGGCCAGCCTGAGCTGCTTGAAAGCATTGCTTCCCTGCCGGAGCTGCGACTTCAACGGCCAGCTCTGTCCCATGCCAGATGTGGATATGGATGTCGCGGGACTGCCGTGCGTTGATTTTTCCAGAGCCGGCAAAAGGGCCCGCCGGCAAGGTTGCAGCGCCGGTATCTTCGTTGCTTGGGCCAAAAGGCACAAGGTACTCCGAACTAAGCTGCTCATCCTCGAGAACAGTCAGGCACCGTAGCTGCACTAGGTCGCAGTGTCGCCCGTGACGGTCGTCGCAGTCTTTTTGCAAACAAGTTGCCCGCAAAACTTAGGAGCTTGACTTGGACATGATCAAGGAGCTGATGGAGCCCGAGTACCAGCTCTATCCGCTGTACGTTGCTGCGGCGGACTCTGGGCACGCAGGTGTTAGCAGAGACCGGCTCTATGTTATCATGCGGCACGTGAGCACGACGGATTGTCTCTACGATCCTTTGGACTTGTATGTCTACATCCGGCAACACATCACGGAGCGTGTTGCGACACAGCCCTGTGACTACATGATTGGCAGCGACGAGGAAGTGCAATTGGAGGCGATGTCAGTAGCCAGCGTGCGCGGAATTGTCTATGTTCCCGGAGAAAGAAACCTGCGGTATCTTCTGAATGACCGCGAGAAGACGAACTTGCAGAAAGCGTGCCAAGTCTACTGGGAGCGATTCCAGAGAGACCCCTGGCAGGATCCAAATCTCGCGATCTTCCTGGGAGATAACGTGGATTACTCCCTCTGCTGGTCTGCCATCAGCAAACGGATTCCAGCCTTCCGGCTGAACCAAGGGAAGACTTTCTTCCCCTTCTTCCGCAGATGGATGTGTGCGTCGGAGCGGCTTGCGGCACTTGGCATGCCTGTGCGTCCAGAGGTCGCGGAGGGCATGGGAGTTCCCAAGCTTCCTGTCCGTGACATTCACAGAGCGAACCAGCTGGCCGGTAATTGCATGATGCTGCCCACAGTAGCCCTTGTACAGCTTGTGGCTTTGTCTTGCGTGGCGTCGAAGAAGGCCACAGGAAGCAGGTACTAGCAGCGCGAAGGTGACTGTGACCGTGAGACAGAGCAGTGAAAGCTTGCATGTCCCGTTCTCTCCCGAGTCGCAGCCAGAGTGTTGGAGTGATGATACAAAGCAGTTGTTGCATTTGAACTTGTATTGTATGCAGTGCCAAGGTGTTTTTCGACGGCAGCAACATTGCCAAACGACCGACAGAACTCATGTACATCTACTCGCCGGTCCTCAATCTCGGAGCGGTGTGCCCTCCCATGGCCTGTGCCTTATGCAACGCATTCGCGAATCAGTTGATGTTCTTAGCTGTGGTTTTGCTGGCTGCTGTGCAGAAGCCTCGTTTATGTGTGGATGCTGGCCGCTAGCTCTCGTGTTGCGACTAAAGTCAAGTGTCGTGCGGTGTCCTAGTGCTTTGTTGCCATGGCTGCCGCTTCTCTTCCGAAGGTTCCAGGACCTCCCCCGGCAAAGGGTGCCCCCGTTCCGGTCAAGGTTCCGGGGCCCCCTCCAGGGCCCAAGGGCCCGCCACCCGCTCCGGCTGCTGTCGGCAGCGCTCTCAGCTCTTCGGCCGTAGACTACCTCAACTTCTTGTCGGGCAGCTCGGCGTCTGCGAAAGCGAAGACCTCGAAGACACCCTCCAAAAGCGGAGGCGGCCGCCGCCACAGTGTCGAGAAGTACTCGAGCTCGTATGTGAATCTCTCGAAGTTCCCCGATCACCTCATACTCGAGATGATCTCGCATGCGGAACCAGTTTTTTGTGGACGTGCCTACTTGGAGCGCCAGCCCAGGCTTTCCCTTCATTTCCCGCATGATTGCGTGCTGTGCATAGAAAGGTGAGAGAGTAGACGACCACATGCATGTCCCCTCGGTCAGGCACTCCTTGGATGCCTTCCTGTACCAGATTGCCTCTCGGTGGCAGATGTTGGGTCCTTCAAAGGAAGCAGCAGTTGAATCCTGATGCAGGCAGATCTTCTGCCCTCGGACAAGCCGTTCTCGTACCTCAAGGCGGACCACCTCGAGCAGCTGCGCAACGAGTACATCCGCAAGAAGCTGCCCGTTCAACAGGAGCAGATGACCAAGGAGACGGCCTGGAGCCGCAGTGAGGCCGCGCTCCTGGCGGCGGTGAACACCCTCCAGGCTCCGTCGCCGGGCGAGGGATCGCCACAGTCCGGTCTCGACCCCAGCTGTTCTGTTTTGCAAGAGGTTTGTCATGCGCGTGGTTTGTTTTTTGGACATCTTTGTATTGAACCTGTGTCCCTATGCGCCCCTTTCCCCTCCCGGTTGATACCCTCATTTGCCCTAAATCAAGTCATTGTTGGAGTCAGTGCAGCAAGCTTGGAATCATCAGGTCAGTAGGGCCGCCCAGTATTGACCAGAATGTCTCGTGGAAGATAGGCAAACAGTCCCTGAAGTGAGGCCCCATGGTCTTGGAGTGTGCGTTATCTGTCACCCTGTGTCTCGGCTTTTGAAGTTACTCCGTGACTCCTTTGGGGGACTGACGCAGCTCTCCACGAACACGGCTGTGTACCTGCCGACCGTGACCGCCGGGGGGGCGGGTGCTTGGAGCCTGTATACGGACCATACGGGGCATCAGGCCATTACGGAAGGTGTTGCCGAGACCAACCGCTACTGCGCCAGCTTCTTTGAGTCGGGGTCTGCTGGAAGTGTCGCAGGACTCCGGGTGCTAGCGGTGCCCGCAAGTGACAGCCCAAAGCCTAAACCCTGTCGTTGACGAATCCACAGGAGCTTCGGATCCCGCTGCCACCCCAGCCAAAGCAACGGACGTCGGGAACGCCACTCCTACTGCGGAGGCTTTGCGGCTTCAGCCCCGAAGCTTTGTAATACAAACGCTCCCTGCTACAGGCTGCTGTGGACGACGACACCTTTGACGACTTGGTGCTGCGAGCCCAGCAGACTGGGCTAGGAGACTTCATGCAGGCCCAGAACACCCCGGCGTTGGCAAACCGATTGAAGAGGCTGTTGGCAAGGCCCGGCCCACATCATGTCCATTGAAAGTACGCTACATGTCCCATAGTTGTCCGATTGCACTGCCGGGGTCTGTGTGTGCGATAGGGTAGGCAGTGCCAAGGATCAGAGCCCACGCGTGCCATGTCGTGTGTTGTTTTAATATGAGCACGACTAGGCAGGGTTGTTTCTCTGAAGAGGGTTGCATTGTAATGCCCTTCGGTCAGCTGAAGAAGAGTATGGAGGTTTGGTTGATTGTACAGCGACAATTGAAACAACAACAAACACATGGACTGTGCCAGGGCTACGGGACCGCCGGTTTCCAAGGCCAAGAGCGGTGAGGCTGTGACTGGGAACGTTGCGCCGCCCCCTGATCCCAAGTCTTCCCCGATTGTTGTGCCTGAGGCTGCGCCGGCTTCGCCGCCCCCGGCTCCTAAGTCCCCGACCCCTACGCCACCCAAAGCTGGCACCACGCCACCCAAAGCTGCCTCGAAGCAGAGAGCTGTGGATGTTTTGAGCGGGCCCGTGGCCTTGGACTGAGAAGCGACATGAGGCCATGCGGTGCAGGGTTTTGGGTTTCTGCAAAGTACACGCACTGAACCTATAGATCCCGGCCCGAACAACCCAAAAGCCCTTAAAAAGCGTTCAGCAAGCACTCGGTACGCCTACCATAAGCCCCGCCCGTGTAGGCACCGTACATCCCAACCCAAACAGCCCCGAAACCAGCCCCAAACAGCCCACAAAAGAGCGCTTAGCAAGCACTCGGTAAGCCCTGGTAGGAGCCCCCCCAACAGCCCCAGTTTCAGCTCCTGCCCCCCAGGGTGTAGGTTTAGGCTTTGGGGGTCCAGGGGTCCATAAAAGGTCTCGGACTTTAGGGGTCTAGAGGTTTAGGGTTTGGGTGTCAGGGGTGAGGGGCCAAGGGTTTTAGGGGTTTGGTTTAGGGGTTTAAGGGGTAGGGGGATAATAGGGGTGCAGGTGTTTAGCCGTTTCGGGTTTAGGGTTTAGTGGCTCAGGGGTGCAATTTTCTCGTGGGATTAAAGGGTACAGGTTCTGCTAAGGCTTCTTTCGCGGTGGCACAAGCTAGGAGCCAGCTGGTATGGATCGCATTGCCGCCTCGCATCGCTGTGCATTTCTTCATGCTACCGACATCTAGGCACCGTCAGCGCTAGCAGGGAAGCCGCCGTTTCAGTGTCAAATAGCAGACGCTTTGTCACACGTGAAGCAAGTGTAGGCTAAGTGAAGCACCGCTGCTACCAGACCCAGTAATTCCTGTAATGAATGGCAAAGCTCAGCACGTGCAGTGACACTGACCCGTTCTTGCATTGCTGCGGTGCGCTGTTTTGGGTTCGTTGCAGGACGGCTTCACAAGCTCTGGAGAAGCAGGGGTTTGTTTAGTTTGTCAGTATGCACGGACACCCTTTCTCTAGCAGGATTACAACATTCATGGATGAGACAATCAGTTTGTGGGTTGACGTCAGAGGTAGTTGTGGGGCTTGCTTTCTGGAACTTGAGGCACTTCCAGTAGCAGTCAGTGGCGTGGTAGAACAGAGTGGGAAAGCCGACCCCTGCAACACAAAAGTTTGCAGCGTGTTTCTGTGCAGTCCGGCAGGTCTCGAGGTTAGAGCAATCATTTGGAGATAGGAGTCAGGGCACTCCCGGTCCAGGTTTCCTTCAGTCCGGCAGTGCACAGGCTGTTGACACGTTGATGGAAGGGTGCTTGACCAGAGATGGAAAAAAGCATTCTGTTGACATGTTGCAACTGGATTCCTGGAAGCTACTCACTTGTAAGGCAAGCCTAACAAACACCTGCCGCCGAAGAATGCCTAGGAGATGGTGACTTACATTGCAGACAACGAGACGCAGGCTGCAGCACAGGAAGCCAGGACCCGTGTAGCCACAGTGCGCTGCGGAGTATGTGTTGGTGCAGTATGACAGTAGCCTGGCACGAGTATTGTCGGAGGAAGAAACAAGGCAAGAAAGCAAATACGACCCTCCTTGTCGCATGGCTGCATCCTTCCGTGAGACAGTGAGTCCATGAGTGAGTGTCAGTGAGTGAATGAGTCTGAGTGAGACAGTGAGTGGGTGGGTGGATGTGTGCTTCAGTGCGTGTGTGTTTGTTTGCTTTGTATTTGTCTTTTTTGTGTTTGGCTGGCTGTGTACCTCTGTCTGTGTGTGCGTGTTTTTGCGCGTGTGTGCCTTTGATTGCATGCTTTTGTTTTTGAGAGTGATCGCACTTTTCCGTTTATGTGTGTGTGTGTGTTGCTGGCTGTCTGCGTCCGTCTGTCTGCCTTCTGTCGCTCCCTCTCTCTGTGTCCCATGCGTGTGTGTGCGTGTGTGTGTGTGTGTGTCTCTGTGGCTGTGTGTATGTGTGCGTGTGTGCTGCAGTGCCTTTGTCTGCTTGTGCCCTTGTCTTTGCATGTGCGCGTGCGTGCGTGTGTGCGTGTGTGCGTGTGTGTGTGTGGGTGGGTGGGTGAGTGGGTGGGTGGGTGGGTGGGTGGCTGGGTGGGTGCGTGCGTACGTGCGTGCGTGGGTGGGTGGTGGGTGGGTGGGTGTGTCTGTGTGTGTGGTATGCGCACATGTGTCCTTGTGCCTCAGCATGTGCCGCCATTGACTTCAGGCAATGCTTCAGATGGTATGTCACGGCTTCCAGAGCACCACAGGATGTTCGATGGCCATGTTCAAACCACAGAAGATTCTCAAGCCCGGCGAACCCCTGGTTTTGGAACCGCCGGAGTTGGACCAGAGACCTATGTTCAGGGCTGTGTCTCGATTGTGTTATAAGCCATTGTTTGTGACAGCACCGGTCGCTCGACCCTAACTCTGGACAGCATTTTCATATGCCCTCTGCGTGTGCCGGGACGAATCCATTCCGAGGCCCCGGACGAGGAAGCTGCAGGTTTCAAGATGTTGAATATGATGATTTATCACAAGGGCTTCCGCGGGGTCGCAGATCCCGAAGTGCTTCACTCCGCTTGGAATGACGCCAAGCGGGCGCTACGCGGAGCACGGCTGTGGGGAGCCTCGCTCAAAGTAAAACGCTTTACGGGTACGTTCCGGACCCT